CTTAGTGGGTAAAGCCACTTCCTGCGAAGCTTCACAGCCTGAGTTAGATCTCCCCCCAAGTACTGACTGGTAAAAGAATAGACTCCTGAAAGTTGACCTTTCACACACACACACACACACACACACACACACACACACACACACACACACACACACCTGTACTAAGAAGCAAGTTCAGAGTAAGACTTCATAATTGTGAGGATCTAATCAGAATCCACTGAGGCATATTTGCTATACTATATGACTTGTTTTAAGGTCCCAGTAAGCACAGGGAGGAATGGAGGGGTGGGAGGGGCTTCAGGACAGTGAAAGTACAGCCAGCAGCACCTGGGTGGTGAGAAGCACATGATCAGGACAGACAGACAGCCCAAGAAGAAGGACCCCAGCCACCAGCAGCTCCAGCCTTGGGGAGGAGTGAAGGAACCCCTTTAACAGATACAAACATTTAAAAAACAGTTTTAAAGCTTTTCTCTAAAATTTCCCCCATAGTTAAAGACTTCAGTGACTTCCCAGTCATTGGACAGCAAAGGCCAAGTCTAAAAGCTTCTCATCTTCCGGGACGGACACTCCTTTCCCATCTCCAACATTCCAACTAAAGCAAAATTTAGTTACTCCTGTCCTTGGCTACCTCACTGCTAACACAAAACCTCAAATGTCTGCAGCCAACTGAGGTTCTTCCTCACACTGCATACAGCTATTTTGTACAAAAGCTCCCATTCTGCAAACCACAAGAGTCAATGAAGAACACTGCAATATATCTATGCCCTCACCTCCCTGGTCCCAGTTCTATATTCTATAGTATGTATGACTTATACAGACCAGGAGTACCAAACTGTTTTCTACAGTTTTCTTCTTATCTCTCATGTTAACTTTGCTTAAGATGGCTTTAATAATAGCTCATCTATGAAATTCCATCATTCCATTTAAATGAGGATCCACCTTCCAAGAATCTGAAGAACTCTATTGGATGCTAAGTTGCCCTAATGTCTAGAGACTCGCCCCCCCCCATTGTCCTAATGTTCCACATACAATCCCACATCA